GTATTACACTGAGCATTTTACATATATTGCTCATTTAATCCACATGGCTATTGTCTCCCACTGCTTTTTATTAGTTTATTTAACTTAATGTGTATATGAGTGTGTGTGGTGTACATGCAAATATGTGCTCAGATGTACACACCCTAGCATGCCCACACGGAGGTCAGACGAGGACATCCAATGTCCTGCTCTCACTCTACACCTTATTCCCTTAATACAGGATCTTTCACTGAACCTGGAGCTAGGCTTGTGACTAGCAAACCCCTCCTGTCTCTGCCCCACACAGTGCTGGGGTTACAGGAACGTACATCCAGCTTTTCATGTGGGTGCTGGGGATTTGAACTCAGGACCTCATACTTGTACAGCTCACCCACTGAGCCACCTTCCTAGGCCTCTTCTGCTGGCTTTTAACTTCCATTGACTTGGCATCAAGATACAAAATCCTTCCGGTGAAGTCCCAAACAAATCAGGGACAGAAAGCTTTTGTTTCATATTCCACGTTCAACAGTAGAAAATGCTGCTGGGGTTACCAAATCAAGGTCTGAAGAGAAGGAACTGCTTGGCCGGGATAATTCAGCAAGGTAGACAGTGAGGCAGGGAGGGGACCATGGCCGGTGTCACAGAGCACATGGTGGGGGTGACCATGGCAGGTGTCACAGAACACATGGGAGCATTGCAAGTGCTAGATATAGGCCATCCACTTAAAATTTGTGTTGGGACTGGAGAGGTGGCTCAGCAGTTAAGAGCACTGGCTGCTCTGTCAGAGAATCTGGGTTCTATTCCCAGTACCCACATGCTAGCTAACAACCATCCACAACTCCAGTTCCAGGGGATTTGACACCCTCTTCTGATCTTCATGGGTATTGTATGACACAGGTGCACTTACATGCATGCAAGTAATACACTTGTACACATAAAATAATTTTTAATCAGTTTGAAATCTTGTTTCCCAGGATTTCATGGGCTTGAAGAAAGCCTGCCTGATCTAGAACCAAGTCTCTCTCCTCTACACTCTTTCTGAGGCTCTGCCTTTTCAATGAAGGTTGCTTCATTGAAATTTTACAGTGTGTGCTTACTTGGACTAATTTTGATAAGTTAAGAATCCAGACAGAGGTAGAAGGTAAACTAAGACCTCTGACTGGTATTTCTGAACTCTCCTAGTGTGGATGGAGCCTTTCCGTGTATGCACGGGTTGTGGCTTATGAAACTGTATCCCCCGAGCTCTTCAGGGTATAAATGCTCCAAGGGGGCTACACACCGCACTAGCTGTTTTTAAACCACATCATTCTCACACGTGAGTTTTTACTTTTATAAGCTGTATTTTTCTTGGCTTTGGTGAACTAGACAATGCAAAGTTGATCTTCTGGCCTTTGAAACACTCTAAGACAAGCAGCCCTGATTAGTGAGCCCCAAAATGAACAGCCTTTTAGCCAGGGACGTGATGGCATGTACAAAATTTCCAGGAACAAATTTAGAAGGAAATTTACCTATACTGATGAACTCTATGTTTAAAATCTACTTAGGGAGCTGGGCATGGTGGTGCACACACCTTTAATCCCAGTACTCAGGAGGCAGAAGCAGGCAGATCTCCATGAGATCAAGGCCAGCCTGGTCTACATAGTGGGTTCCAGTCAGCTGGGGCTACAGGGAGACCCTGTCTCAAAAAGACCTAGAAAGAAAGAGAGAGAGAGAGACAGACAGAGAGAGAGACAGAGACAGAGAGACAGAGACAGAGACAGAGACAGAGAGGAAGAGACAGAGACAGAGAGACAGAGACAGAGAAGAAAATATCTCTTCTTCCTTAAAAGTAAGAACAGTGAAGGAGAGTGTGGGCTGCTGTTGGTGGAAAGCAAAGCCTCCCATCCTACTTGAGCTCCACAGTCCATGAAACTGGGTTGAAGACCTCACCTGAAAATGAAAGACCCATGGATCAGCCTAGGGAGGAGCAGAGCAAACATGGGTACTTTTTTTTTTGTTTTTGAGACAGGGTCTCCCCGTAGCCCCAGCTGGCCTGGAACTCACTATGTAGACCAGGCTGGTCTCCATATCACAGAGATCTGCCTGCCTCTGCCTCTTGAGTGCTGGGATTAAAGGTATGCGCCACCACGCCCAGCTACAGTGCTTCTTAAACCATGGGTTATGACTATATGGTGGGGTCACTGAATGTGGAGGAACTGAAAGATTCGACAACAGTAAAAAGTTTCTGGAGAGATGGCTCAGTGGTTAAGAACAGTAGTTGTTCTTGCAGAAGACTCGGGTTTGAATCCCAGCACCCACATGGCCAGCACCCACATGGCAGCTAACAACTGTCCGTAACTCCAGTTCCAGGGGATCCGACAGCCTCTTCTGACCTCCACAGGCATTGCACGACATGGGTGCACTTACCTACATGCAGGCTATGTACGCATACACATAAAATAAAAATAGTAAATATTTTTTTTAAGTTTCTGAATAGGCAGTGACCAAGAAAATCATTTAAAATGAAACATGTAATGAATCCTAGGTGTTCACTGGTATCACTCACCATGCTGCACTGCATGCGGCCTCAGTTGTAAAGATGCAACATGGGCCACTGCACCAAGCATGCTGTCATAGCCTGCAGTACAATAAATACTGCCTGAGATGCCTCAGCTCAGATCCGAGACTACTGTATATTATGAGTTGCAGTGTACATGCAAAGTTTTCTGGAATTACAGAGACATAATTCTTGAATTACAACAAATGAAGACTTTTAATGTTTTCCTACAGTCAACCCTCAGTATGTAACTATCAAATTAGTGATTGGATTGTGTTAGATAAACATTCACATCCATCTCATTAGTAAGCAAATTTACTTTTATTGTTAATAAATCTTAAAATAACACTACAACAAAGGAATTATTTTTGGTCTATTTTGAGACAGGGTCTCCCTATAGCCCCAGCTGACCTGGAATTCACTTTGTAGACCAGGCTGGCCTCGAACTCACAGGGATCTGCCTACCTCTGTCTCCCAAGTGCTGGGACTAAAGGCGTGCGCCACCATGCCCGGCTACAAGAAAGGAATTTTTAATTAAAATAAATTTCTTTATGATTTATTATCCATAAATGTTTGATTTGTATACTTTTTGTATACCTATATACCTGGATTGCATAGAATTTCCCAGGAGAAAAGGAATCATGTGTAGGGAAAGGTTTTAGAAGCCCTGGGGCATAACACAAAAAGAGTAAAGGTTCAGGCCAGGGTAGTATTCTATTACTTAGCAAGGTCCAGAATTCATTTCCTAGTCAAAAAACAAAACAAAACAAAACAAAACAAAGGGTAAAGAGCATGGATCAAAGATGCACCAGGCACTATGCTAAGCCCCAGGATAAAAAGGTGAAAAAAACATGATCCTGCCCACTCCCCCTGGACTTTGGGGACAGGTGCAGAGATGAAAGAGGCTCTGTGAAGATAGATATTAGTAACAACCTCATATTGAATAATTAGCTGGTGTTCTAGTAAAAGGAAATGAAAATCTCATATACTATGAAGTTCATTGATCAAATACATTCTTCTCCACCCCATGGCACTAACCAACAAATATTTATTAAATGTTGCTTATGTTCCAGGCACAGTGTTAGCCACTAGATACACAAGGGTAAATAATGGGGCTAAATATCTTATCGGCTGGTCTATAATAAGCTCCATTGGTTTTCCTTCTTCATCAATTAGTTTGCATGATCTATTCATTTCTTTTTGTTACATAGCTCCCATAGGTCCTGTAGCTGTTCTTTTCCAGCAGGTCTATTTGGGAGGAGATTATATTTTAAATTCGTTTACAGATATATTGACAAATTGCCTACTTTATTCTATTTTTATTTTTTGCTCTAACATTACAAATCCTCTGAGTCTGTGTTCTATTTTTTATTATTTGTCAAACATCATTTTTCTTCACTAGTTGATAAAAAGTCTTTATGA